ATTCGACTGCTTCAGTGCTGGTGGTAGCGGGGGTGTGGATTGCAGATTACGAGTATTGGTGTGGTCAGCGCTACTCGCTGCGCTGTTGCGACGTGACGGTGATTCTGAAGGCGACGTGTTTGTGGATGACGATGAGTGATGATGGATTATCGCTACTGTCGAAGGTAGATTCGAAGTTGGCGTTGAGCTGCTGCTGCTGTGCAAACACGATTTACGACCTGTATCACCACCTGCAATCAAATAAATATCATTTTCAAACATCAAATATCAGTTTAAACAGGGATGCAAAAACCCGCAGAGCCGTAAAGGAGAGGTAGGTAAGATGAAGAAGATCCTCAATCTATTGGATTGATCCAATCCAACCCCTACTCTTCTTCAGTTTCCTCAAAATCAGCAGCAATCTTCAATCTAGCAGACTTGCTCACGGAGCCATAACGGAGTCTTCAATAACTCATACAATCATCATTTTCTCTCTTCTTTTCATACTCACTTCAACTCGAACAATATTACTTCCTGAACCGATGCAGGATAGAAATGATTTAAAACAGTGACATATAAACGTGTTCCAATGAATAAATTCAACACAACAAGGAGCTGTTGACTATATATCTTTCAATATATCCGCGATAACACCATATGGGTACAAATGCGTAAACGGCAGCTTAAACGCCATCTCTCCATCAATTTACAAAGACCAAATCGCTTGGCTCGCGTGACATGCAATCCAAACCAAACCTATCAATACCACTACTAGCTGCTATCTATTCAGAAAAAGAATCGATATGTGACAACCACGTTGACAAGCTAAACTAAAAACAAATTAATCCATCGATCGCACAAATCCAACCCTAATTCTATAATTGCCTCCAAATGTTCTCCCTTTCACTGCTTTCCGTATCCTTTCTCCCCTTGGCCTCCAAGTTACCCATTCCCCGGGACATGTTATGGGTTAATCGGTATAACAGCAGGCAAGACATCCGAGGCTCTAGCCCCTTCTACGGACCACTTCTCACTCACTAATTACTATCATCATTAATCATAACGTATCGTCTAACTACAAATTATCCTTCAGCGATTTAAATCAAATGCAAGGACGGTAATACTATTAATCACTCGACAGTAAACAGCAAAAAATACTCACTTATTGATGATATTAACAATACTGCAAATATCACCAACAAAATACCAATAATAACTTCCATAAACATTCACAAATAGCATTTGTACCACTGCACATTCCATTTATTCATTCAACCGAGCTGATTACATCCTTACCTACCTATCTATCAAATCTTGATAACCCACATGTCACATTCCTTCTCAACTGCATTCCAGTATATCGAACAGAAACATGAAAATGAAATAAACTCGTTTCGCACTCTTCTCATTTCAATCTCTCTTTCATTTTATCCTGCGGCAACTTAATTCTATTCTACCCTTTCCTAATCTATTCCGCTAAACTACCTCCATAAACTAACAGATAATCTAATCTACAATAATATATCATCGCCAATGATTACTACCGCTTTCGAAATAACTGCCGAATCGTTGACTGCTGCAGTGCATACTACGAATTATAAAAATAATTATGATAGAGTTCGTCTCATCAATGAATATATCACACGAGGAAGACAACAAACTGTAATGTCATCGTTATCATGAGTATCGCTCGTTGAATTTAAACATTAACATGAGCACACAAATATTACAAGCATCGATCCATTTGCACCATCGATCCATACACGAACGAATAAACGATTAAATAAATTCACTGAGAATGCCGCAAATATATACAACAGAGACTGATGAATCGATGGCACATGCAATATGCACCTGATTCACTTCACTTCACATGCAAAAATTGCATGTGTCTGTTTGCTGTCTCATTGCTATGATCGATTTCCTTCCCATTTATTATTAATTACATCGATTACAATACATTATATGCATGCACATATATATTGTAATGTATTGTAATGAAAGTTTCCGTATTCCCCTTTCTACACAATATATTTGAAACAATTTGCACGGAAACGCGAGCATTGCGGCCAGCAACGTTACAAACTTTTGATGACAGCCTGGCCAATCCAGGTAATTCAGGTAACATTTGGAAACGAAGAGAACAGGTAATTTGATTATTCGAACAGGTAATTTGATTATGCAGGTAATTTGAAAATTTAAAAATAGAATCATCGCAAAGTGACGAAGTGTAGTCGTGCCATTGCGTTTCTTCTCTAATTGTAAATTCAAAATGTAACCTTCTATTTATGTCTCCAGTCTTAAGTTTACTCCTGACGTTTCATTCATTCATTTTTTTTACTATGCTTATAAATGAGTTCATTATGGACATTTGCAATGCAGATTTTCTAACACCAAATAAATGATCGATAACAGATTCTGATGAAGACGGATAATTTCGCGTACTGATTGCGTTACCCTGATGAGAGGAACGAAGAGTGCCACTGAAAGGGGAATCTATTGATAGCTGTGCAATTACCGATAATAACAGA